AATACCACATGATCTCACTTATATGTGAAATCTGAAAAAGTCAAGCCCATATAAGAAGAGAGTGGTTAGCAGAGGCTGGTGGGGGGAAAGGGGAATGGGAAGTTGGTGGTCTAAGAGTATAAAGTCTCATTTAGACAGAAGGAAGAAGTTTCTGAGCTCTATTACTATGCAACGAGATGACTATAGTCAATAATAATATATTGTATATTTCCAAATAGCTAAGAGGATAATTTCAAATGTCTCACCACAAAAAAATAAGTAAGTGAGCTAATGGGTATATGAATTGGTTTGATTTAATCCTTTCATATTTTACACATACAGCAAAACATCACATTGTACTCTCTATATATTTATGATTTGCCAATTAAAAATAATGCTAAAAAAAGTATCCAGTACACTCAATGCTAATATGAAACCAATATATGAACTACATACCTGCACAAAAGAAAAAACACAAGTACAGGGTAGCTGTAAAGTTTGCCCGCAATTTAAAATAGTTTGCAATTTTGGGCCAGGCACCACAGCTCATGCCTGTAATCCCAGCACTCTGGGAGGTCAAGGCAGGCAGATCACCTGAGCTCAAGAGTTCGAGACCAGCCTAAGCCAGAGCGAGACCTAGTCTCTAAAAATATAGGCTGACATGGCAGGCGCCTGTAGAGTTCCAGCTACTCAGGAGGCTGAGGCAAGAGAATTGTTTGAGCCTGAGTTTAAGGTTGCTGTGAGCTATGATGCCAGAGCACTCTACTGGGGGATGACAAAGGGAGACTGTGTTTCAAAAATAAATAAATAAAATTGCGATTTTAACTGCACACAAACTTTATGGACACCCTGTATAGTCTAGCCTGGGGGAGGGAAGAGAAGGGCAGAGTGATGGGCAGGTTCTTGCCTAATTTGCACAATGTGAGGGTGTTCAGCGCTGCCCCTGGGTGAAGGGCTCAACTACAACTTGAACTTTAACTTAGAAATGAAAACAATGTAACCAAAATATCTGTACCCTCATATTAATCTGAAATTAAAAAAATAAATCAGGTCACCATTTTAAGTAAAAAAGAAAAAATGACAATTGTTCTAGATTTTAAAATATAAGTCACATTCAAAAGATGAGGAATCAAAATGGCAGTGACCTTCACACAATATTGAAATCAGGGGACAATGGAGCCATGCCTCCAAAATTATAAGGGAAATTTAATTCCAAACTATCAAGTATGAAAATGAATTTAAAAATATTTTTTAGGCTCAGCGCCCATAGCTCAGTGAGTAGGGCACTGGCCACATACACTGAGGTTGGTGGGTTCAAGCCCAGTCCGGGCCTGCTAAACAACAATGACAACTACAACAAAAAAAAAAAATAGCCGGGCGTTGTAGTGGGCACTTGTAGTCCCAGCTACTTGGGAGGCTGAGGCAAGAGAGTCGCTTAAGCCTATGAGTTTGAGGTTGTTGTGAGCTGTGATGCCATGGCACTCTACCGAAGGCAGCACAGTGAGACTCTGTCTCAAAAAAAAAAGTATTTTTTAGACAAAGAATTCTTCAAAAACTTCTTCAAAATTTACTTTATATGCACCACTCTTTCTTAAGAAACTATGAGAGCATTTGTTCAAAGAAATAATGGGGGTAAAATGGTATAGGAAAGGGAAATCCAAGCAGAGCTTGATAAATTCCTTAAAATTAAATAGAGTTGAGAATCCAGGGAGACTAAATCGGCTGTAGTACAATAGGTCAGAGTGTCAGAGGGGAAAAGTCCCCCAAGAGAGAATTCTGGAGACTTCAGAGGGTTTTCCTCTAGTAGAATACTGATCAGCACATGCATGTGAGGAAACTACTCAATGCTGGGGAAAGAGCCACCCAAAAAGCTTAGAGGGAACAATCCCTGGTGCTCATACAGGATCAGGCATAGTTCTGTTCCTATCAGCTAAACGGAAAATTCTTCTGATTCATGGCACACTGGGTAGATACTCAGAAGGGTTTTGCTTCAGTAGTAGGAAAAAATTGTCTCTAAACACTGCTCCAATTCCATCTAACAAATCTTAAAAGCAAGACTTAAAAGGATCAAGCTATGTTCAAATAACTTAACTGTGTCCCACAACAAAGCTTAAGAATATTTATAGGAATATAAAAATATACAACACTCAAGAGGAAATTCACAAAGCCTGGCATACAGTGAAAAATTACTAGACATGCAAACAAATCTACAAAATACATAATTAGGAGAAAAGTCAACCAATCAAAAACTGACACAGATCTGACACAGATGTTGGAATTAGCAGGCAAGGTCATTAAAACAGTTATTGCAACTGTGTTCCATTTATTCAAAAAGGTAGAGGGAAGGCTGAATATCTTAAAAGATACGGAAGACATAAAAAAGACTCAAACTTCCAGAGATGAACACTGTAACATCTGAGATAAAAAACACACTGGAGGGAGTTAATGGCAAATTAGGCATCATATAAGAAATGGTTATGGGCTCGGTGCCTATAGCTCAGCGGTTAGGGCACCAGCCACAGACACCAGAGCTGGCAGGTTGGAACCCGGCTCAGGGCCTGCCAAACAACAATGGCAACTACAACAAAAATATAGCCAGGTGTTGTGGTGGGCACCTGTTGTCCCAGCTACTTGGGAGGCTGAGGCAAGAGAATCGCGTAAGTCCAAGAGTTGGAGGCTGCTATAAGCTGTGACGCCACTGCACTCTACCAAAGGTGACATAGTGAGACTCTCTCTAAAAATAAATTAAGAAAATTATAGATTTGTTTTGTTTTGTTTTAAGGTAAGAGAGAAATGAGTGGGTTGTAAACTGGAAGTGAAATCAACTATAGAGGGGAAGAAATTGAAACTATGGCAAAAAGAGGGCCTGTAACCAAAGCACAAATGAAGGGATAGCCTCCATTATAGCCAGAAAAAAAGAGGAAGCCATAGATATGAATGGATGTGTGTCCAGCATTTTGACAAGTGAGATATTTATCATTTCACACATACTGTTTTTTGTAAAACAAGAGGGCATTTGCTGAGCGTGAGCAGGAATGTGCCAGGGTTAGAATTCTGAGGTGACTACAAAAGATTTGAAATATTCATTACAGAGAACAAGTTAAAAAGAAAGCTGACCAAAGCAACTTAGAAGGATTTCAGGTCAGTACTGAGGGCCCAGGTGAGATTAGAAGCTATAAATTACTGCTGCAGCAGTACCAACCTCTTTGGTTATGTGATTTTCACCAGCAGGGCTCTGCATCTTAAATATAGACACAAAAATGGTAGGAACAGTGGAACTGATTCAGGGGTGGGATTTTATCGGATTGGTGTGATAAAAAGACCATGAGGCAAGGAAACTGTCCAAGGAAACTGGGATATTGAAAAGAAAAATAAGAAGGCAGGCGCAGTGGCTCATGCCTATAATCCTAGCACTCTGGGAGGCCGAGGCAGATGGATTGCCTGAGCTCACAGGTTTGAGATCAGCCTGAGCAAGAGCGAGACTTCGTCTCTAAAAATAACTGGGTGTCGTGGCAGACTCCTGTAGTCCCAGCTACTTGGGAAGCTGAGGCAAGAGAACCACTTGAGCCCAAGAGTTTGAGGTTGCTGTGAGCTTTGATGCACAGAACTCTACAGAGGGCAACATAGTGAGACTCTAACAGAAAAAAAAAAGAAAGAAAAGAGAGAAATAAGAAATCAGACAGGAGGAAGCTGGTAAGTAGGAAGAAAGTACAGGAGTCAGGACTTAGAGGACTCAATGAAGTTAAAAATAGATGTATTTGAAGAAAAAAAAAAGAGTTCTGAGTTATGGTTAGAAAATGGGATATTTTAATTTATGATTTCAGTGCAATTCTGAGTGATAAAGTGGTTCAGCATGTGGTGCATAGAAGCGGGTGGATGAGGTGGAGCAGAGATGAGAGTTTTTGGAGGAGGGGATTTCAAGGAAGCTGGATGGTTAGAGCATTAAATGGGTCAGCCATGTGAGTGCCAGTGAAGTCATCAGAATGATGGCAGGGGCAATAGGAGAAATACTGTGAGGCTGGAAGCCAACTGTTCAGTAGATGAGAGGGAGATATAAGGAGATCAATCTGACCTAATGAGCCATTGTAGCCCTTTGAAACCTTGGTGACTATACTGACCAGTGTTCCAGACAATGGACTTTTGTCTACAGAAGGGTTTTGGAGGGTTCATGAGTCCTCTGAAATTGTATACAAAATTCTCTGCCTATACATGTATCTAAAATGCATTGTTTTCCTGTGGAAGAAGGTTTGTGACTTTCATCACATTTTCAAAAGGGTGAGTGATTAAATAAGAGACTAAGGATTATTGTTCTAAAGGATTTGTCTGAGGAATAAATAACTAAATGAAAGCAACTGAAAGTGAATGTAGACTAGGAAGGGCACACACCTGTCAATATAGCTAAAAGTTGCTCTTCGCCAATTACATCATAGAAAGTTTAAGCCCTGAGTGAGCAGCAGGAAGCTATGGCAGCAGCTAGGGCTTAGTGTGGGCTGTGCCTTAAAAGAACTGGTGGGTCAGTTGTGGTAGTTCTTGCCTGTAATCCCAACATTTTGGGAGTCTGAGGTCTGAGGTGGGAGGATCGCTTGTGGCCAGGAGTTTAAGACCAGCCCATGCAACGCAGCAAGATCCTGCCTCTACAAAAAGTAGAAATAACAACAGCCAGGCATGGTGGTGCATGCCTATAGACTCAGCTACTAGGGAGGCTGAGGCAGGAGGATTGCTGGAGCCCAGAAATTTGAGGCTGCAGTGAGCTATGATGGCGCCACTGCACTCTGGGGTGGGTGACAGAAAAAGACTCTATCTCTAATGAAACAAAACAAAACTGGAGGGTGGGGGCTAAAGACTCAGAGAAAAGGGTCCAGAAGTCCACAGGGCAAGTTACTACTGAGTTCAATAACTTCCTTCCTAGCTGATAAAAGCTTAAGGTAGCAGCTGCTACATATATGCCTGAACAGAACTAAGTGACTAAGTTGGCCCCTTTCCACAAGAACAGGCACTTCCAAAGGATATAGGGAACTCACCTCTCAGCAATATTTTTTGCAGACTGTAGAAACCGTGCCTGGTCATTTTCTTTCAGGATATGCTCGGCTTGGTTGATGAGGACTGTTGACCGTTCAAGACACTGGCGGCAATTAGCAACCTGCTGTGCCAACTTTCTCAGTTTCATAACCTTAAAGAAATTAGCAAAAGAAAAAAATAAGATAAAACATGCAATACTTAATTAAAAACAATAAAAAACCAACATGAAGGAGATATGCTGCAGCTATTCTAAAAATAAGGCTTATTAATATCACATGGTGCTTGTACTAACCACTCACCTTCTCACCCTGTTTGCTATGTCTCTCCAGCCAGCCCCTCCCTCCTCCTGTCTATGGCTTGCTCACTTACACTACAAGAGGCACATACTCTCGCTGATCCACTTCTTTGTACTGATAGTATTAATTTTTCTGGTTGTAAAAGCAATGCATGCTCATTATAGAAAATCAAAAGTATAAAAATAATGCTACCACACACAGATGACCAATATTTACATTTTACTGTCAATGTATTTTCTCATATGTTTAATAAAAAGTTCTCTGTTCTAACTTTCTATGTATATATTTCTCCAAGTGTTTCCTCTCTTTCTTTCTTTCTTCCTTTCTTTCTTCCTTTCCCTTCCTCCCTCCCCTCCCCTCCCCTCCCCTCCCCTCCCCTTTCCTTCCTTCCTTCCTTTCCTTCCTTCCTTCCTTCCTTCCTTCTTTCTTTCGCAAGAGTCTCATTCTGTTGCCCTGGGTAGAGTGCCGTGGTGTCATAGCTCACAGCAACCTCAAACTCCTGAGCTTACGGGATTCTCCTGCCTTGGCCTCCCACACTGCTAGGATTACAGTTGTAAGCCACTATGCCCAGTCTCTCCATGTGTTATTATACATAACTGTGTGTTCACAAATCCGTGTTCTTAAGAACTTCAGTTCCTGGGAAAGCTGGAACCACCCAGCATGGCATAAAGTATTAGCCATCCATCACTCCAGGCTCTCAAAGTTTCTCACATTATACACACAGCATGAGCTTATAATCATTAACATTGACTGGCACGCCAAGAAGCCTAAAACCATATAGCTGCATGGAGGCTCAACCTGACCTTCCTAACCACACAATTCCTCAATTCTCAGCCTAAGGAGTCTTCAGTAACTCCTCTCTCTCCCTCATCTTTTTTATCTAATAAGTCAATGATTCCTATCATTTCCTTTCTAGCAACGCCTTCTTCCCTTCCATTTGGGTGACCACTACTCTTATTTAAGCCCTCATTAGCTCATACCAAGAAGCATTCTGTAAGTCTCATAACTTGCTTTCCTGAGTTTGGTATCATCCCATTCTGATCTACCCTGCATACCTCTGCCACATCAATCAGTCTTTTTCCTCTAAGAAAACTAAAATGGCTTCCCAATGCCCCCCCCCCACCCCCGATTCAGATTAAACCCAAAGTCCTCATAGTGGTATTCATGGTCCTTTTATGACCCTGGCCCACATTTCTACCATTACTTCTTTTTCTTTCATTTTGCATTGACCTATACCACAGTAATATTAATATTACAGCACCCTAACATTAAGTGTACAACTCAATGAATTTTTGCATACACATACACCTGTGTAAGGAGTAAGTCAAGATATAGAACATTTTCAACACCTCAGAAAGGACAGCATTTTTATTAGATTCATAGCACGAGGCCAAACGTTGCTTTTTCTTTGCTTCTCTCCCTACAACCTCATTTCTTCTTGCTTTCATGATCCAAGTTCAAATTGGAACCATTTGGATCCAACTTTGACATTTGTAAATTCAACTCCTCCTTGGCCTTGCTGAAGTGCTGTGCTTTACCTTTGTCTCTTTGATTTTGACAGCAATCATTTGCTTCCTCTGCTGGATGATCTCTACCAACTCGTCACATTCTTCCATAAGTTTTGCCTCATGCATAGCAGTATTCACCTGCCAAGAAAGTCCAGAGTATTACACAGTGATTGTTGCCTTTGTCCTCTGCTGGTTCTAAAAGGTTCGGACTGACAGCTAAGCATGCACAACTTCTTCCATACCTCCCTCATAAGATCCACTCCTAGAAGAAGGGTAGAGATGATGATATTAATGATGCAAGGGCATTGAAGCACCACAGATAGGAAGATCTCCGGGCCTCTGGTAGATCATGATGGTTAATGGAAGGCTGGGCAGAAGGACAGATGAGATGGGGGCATGTTATTCCCACTGTGCAATTCCCTTTACTCCACACCCTGTCCTCCGGCTGTTCTTTTGGAAAGAGCGTAAGGAGATTTATGTATGTCAAGAAAAAAAAGATCCCCCTCCACAGGCACAATATTATTAAGATAAAACTACAACAACATATTTCCACTGTGCTAACAAAAATGATTTCAGTTTTCTTGTTCTCTTCTAATTTGTCGATATATGAATGTGCAGAGATATTACATATTAAATACATTTATTTTTATTATTTCGGGTTAATGTGAGGGTACAAACAACCAAGTCACAACATTTCGGTTTGTTAGGTAGAGTCCCTCTTGTAGTTATGCCCCCCCAAAGATGTGCCATACACCCCTACATTGTGCATATTAAATATGTACAGATGTTTTTGTCAAAAGTTGGTATCATGTTTTGGTGGAATTTCTCACCTTGGGCTGTCCAGTATCTGAATACCTTTCCTATTTTGGGATACTGGCTACACCAGATTATCTCTACTGCAAAGTCAGGGTTGGAGTGGGGAAAAAAGCCACCATTCTTCATCATCTTTCCATGGACTGATTTCTCCTTCTTCCCATCTCTATTACTATTGACAGCAGAGATACAGCGCCCCCAGGAGGAACTAAAATGCAAATAGGGATCCTCTGGGCTGCCCAAACCTAAAGGGAATGGAAGGGGGGAAACTAACATCTTCTAAGCACTTAACTTGCCAAGCACGTCATAGATAAATTATTTCATGCAATTATCATAACAACTTTACAATAGAGGAACCATTTTCATTCTCATTTCACAGATAGGGAGACAGAAGTTCATAAAATTTTAGTGACTTGCTCAAAAAATAAAAATCACACAGCTAATAAGTGGTAAAACCAGATTTCAAACCAAGTCCTGTCAAAGGAAACCCCTGGGCTGGCTGGGTGGGTGGGCAGACGAGGTTCAGGTCCACTTCAGTGGCACACAGAGCAGTCACACAGGGAAGCACAATCATTCCAAGAGTCTATTCAAGGATCACTCGAGTAGACCTCTAGAAGGCTGAGGAATAGACAATGGGTTACTTGACAGCATAAAAACCCAAGGGCCTAGATGTGCTTCATTAGCAAGGTAGGGCACATTTCCTCTTGCTATTCCTTTTCATTCCTCTACATTCTCCAACCCCAGCAAAATACCTGTCACTGGACCCTGCTGCCTCCTCCATCCTCTAAGCTCCCTGTTGGCTAATTTTCTGTTTCTTACTTAATGGAAATAAAATAAATTTGCTGGTGAGCGATAATCTTATTTTGCTTTAATTTTACCTTCAGGTAAACAATGGGGGCTTCTATGTCCTTTGAATGAACAGTCCCACTCTGGCCATTCTATTTTTTTTTCTCAGACTCCTCTACTGTCCCCTAAATTGGATCTTCCATTCCAAGGAGATATCTTACCATCTCAAGAAACCTCCATTCAATGAAAAATGACAGATTCATCTAGTTCTTCCTAGGTCCTTGCTTATGGCTTCTCTTTTAGGTGTTTGCTGGTCTAGTGTACAATGGAGTAGTACCTTCTTTCTTATAATTTAATCCACATACTAGCCTTTACATAACACTATATGCCAGGCATTGCTCTAATCAGTTTACATATATTAGGTCCCTCAATCTTCAAAACAACCGTATGTGGTAGGTACCATGATCTCTATTTAACAGATGAGGAAATCAGAACACAGGGAGATGTAGTGACTTCCTCAAGGCTACTAAGTGGTAAAGATGAGATTTAGACCCAGGAAGCTGAGTCCATACCTTTAACCATTAAACATACTGCCTCTCCAATTGAGAGTAAGAACAATCCTGTCTTCAACTTATGGCAATCATTGTCTCTGTTGAATCATCCATCTTTATTCTGTCATCTCCAGTCCCCCTATTTATACTGCCATTGTACTTTACACATATATAGTTCAATTATACCATTTATTACTTTATGTCATAATAATTTTTTAGTCTGTCTTCCCCGACTCAAACATGAGTTTGAGCCAAGGGCTGTGTCCAATTAGACTGTGCTCTACCTCTAGCTTCATGACTGACATATAGTAGACGTTTAGTAAATAGGTGTTGGATAGAATTGAATGGAAAAAAGATATCTTCTATTGACTGTTAGATATATCCATGTTACTCAAGTTACCTGAAACTCAGTTATCTAAAAACAAACTTATCAACTCCTCCCCAGGTCTGATTTCCTAATTTTTTTGTCAATGTTACTATCATTATTGCAGTTACTCAGGTTTAGTAAGCTCTGACATCTGCTTCTCCCTTATCCCCCATATAAATTCTCAGCAGTCTCAAAGTCCTTACTTCTCTTTCTTTTTCCATCTCACTAAAGTTCTTTTGGTAATACAGTGTGTATTTGAGCCAAGGAACCAATCGGTTGAGCCCCTTATCCTCATTTTGGACTATTACTGCAAGAGCCTCCTTCATTAATCTCCCTACCTCCGAAGCGATCCTTGCCACCCATCCTCATAATCTTCCCTCTACCTTGAAACCAGGGACGCCATCACCACGACATCAAAGACATATTCAGCATCTTTTGTGTGCAATGCATTATGCTAAGGCCTTTCCCTCAGTAAATTTACAATCTGGATGGGGAAGAGTCACAATCATATAAAACAAAGCAGTCAGGATAGCATTAAATTAAATATCAAATAATTGATGTAGACTATAACTTACATAAATTGAAAGGAAACATCACTCATGGTGGGGAAGTAGAAGAAAGATATATGAATGGAACAGGACTTGGATTGAACCTTAAAGTGATATATTAATAAGACTTAGATTGAAAAGGTAGAAAGGAGGAAAATTTCAAAGCAAATGAGGTTGAACTTTATTCTTTAGACAACATGGTATCTTTGTAAAATCGTTTTGAGAGGAGGAAAGGTAAGGTGGGGAGAATGACCATACTTCTTTTTTAAAGAAGAAAAAGTAGAATTGGTTTAATGGGGGGGGGGTAATGGTAAGATTAAGATTAAGAAAAATTTAGGAGGCTACTGTGATGTGAACAAGGCCATCCAAGAAGGATGGATAACAGGAACAGATAAGAAATAAGAGAAGCACTCCCTTGCTCGAAAATCTTTGATCAGATAACAAGCTCCTTGAAGAAAGGTTTAATGCTACTTTGTTCCTCACATTGTAGTTGGCACAAAGCCTACAAATAAAAAACACTTGAGAAACATTTACTGACTGATTTAGCAAAGCAAAAAATCAAAATAGGAATGCCAAATATTCGAAAATATACTCCAGGTGGCTCAGACCTGTAATCCTAGCACTCTGGGAGGCTGAGGTGAGTAAATTGCTTGAGGTCGAGACCAGCCTGAGCAACAGTGAGACCCCTGTCTCTACTAAAATAGAAAAACTGAGGCAAGAGGATTGCTTAAGCCCAAGAGTTGAAGGCTGTTGTGAGCTATGATGCCACGTCACTCTACCCAGGGCAACAGGTTGAGACTCTAT